GGGGGGGGGAATAAGTCCCTGCAGGGTGCTAAGGACAAGCATCCTTTTAAAACCAACTTGGCCAAGCAGCAGGCTCTCCCCGCTCTTAACTCTGGAGAGGGGTGCAGTTTGCTCCCCAGTCGTGACTTAGACGCGATCTTTCAGTTTCCAGTTACAAACGTCCCATCGCCGCCCAGGGCATCCCAGGTCCCTGTGATGCCGTTTATTGTGGCAACAGTTCCCAGCAACTACCCTGGTCCCCGCGCCTCCAGCCGAGCCTTCAAGTGCAGGAGGTGGGAGAGGAGAGAGAAGCCGAGTGAGGGGTTTGGGGTGCAGGACCTCGGACTCTCCAGCACAGGGGCGCAGCATGGGGTGTGGACCGTCCCAGCCTGCTGAAGAACAGAGACAGGTCCCCGCGCCAAAGAAGGTCTGGGAAGAGGGCTTCAAGGTAAAACTAGCCAAAATAAACAGCCTAAAAAGTGGTCGGCCCTCGGTGCCAGGCTTGGGGGCAGCTGGAGGGAGCCAGTGGGGGTCCACGCGGGCTCCCAGCCAGCCAGGTGCAGGACCAGTGGGGTGGGCGCGGTGGGAATGACTTAAGTCAGCCAGTGTTTGACTGCAGGCTGCATCCGCCGCGCCCCGGGGAGGACTAAGTGGGGGGCTGTTTATGTTTTAAAAGCCGGTAAGGGCGGGTCACTTCCTGCAGCAGGAATAACTGGGTGAGCGGTGAGAGTCTGGTTAGAGTCTGCGCGGGGCTGCGGTCCTCAGGGGAGGGCCGTGTCCCTGGGAGTTACCAGGTATTGGTTTCCGGAAAGTGCGTTCCTTGGGAATTGCTTGGCTTTGGCAGAAAACTCAGAAGCCATCTGTCTGTACCCTCTGACTTCCCACATGAGAATCTTTGAAGGCCAGAGAGGCCTACCACATGCCACAGGATGCACAGCTGGTCTTAAGGACAGTGCTGAAGATACACAATCTTATTTTCAAAATGCTCTTTTCACTGCTGCTTGCACTATCTCTAAAGTTGCATCCTCTGTAATTCCTCTGGAGTGGTGAAGAGAACCCCCACCCCAACTCTCCTTAGGTATCTGCAAGGGTCTCTTCCACAGGGGTCACCTGCAGATTCGGTTACCCTACATCATCAAAAACAGGTTACTTTTGAAAGTGAGAGGGAACACTATTAATAACTTTGCCCAATCTGACTTAAGTCCATACTGTTGTTCACAGCAAAAGAGGATTATGGTCACCTTTCTTCAAGGGCACTTCCAGAATTATGGTTTAAAGAGCAGATACTTTTTGTCAGCAGGCCACATGCAACACACTACTCAGTGTAGTTATATAGCACCCACTGGGTGTGAGGTCCATCTGCTGGACTCTTAGGGGACATCAAAACCAAAACCCCAGGCCCTTCCTGGTGGCACAATGGGTTAAAGTGCAGCACTCTGAAGCGAGCCGCATCTGCTTCAGAACCCTCTGCAGCATGAGTTCAATCCCCGCCTGTGGAGCTCACCCACAAGGCACAGCAGACCTCTCCTGTCTCACCTGCTGCTCCCCTCAGTAGTGTACTTCGTTGTTCTGCTTCCCACTCTGTCTCTGGTGAATCCTCTCACCCCCTGCACCTCTGGCCTGTACCCAAGTTCTGTAAGCATAGAAGAAAACCACCGAGCTAGTCCAGGCTGAGATCCGGATCAGCACCCGGTGACCTAGGGGAGGCTGTGTCCACATGCCCACCTCTCTTAATTGCCCTCCTCTTTCTACCCCAAATACCACTGCCTGCTTCCTAGGGCCCAATTAACCTCTTCCTGGGTCTTCTTGCCTCCCTAATTCCCTAAAAGCCATGCTAGCCAGTCTACCTTTCACACTGCGATCTGTCTTCTTAAGAAAAATATTTCCTTGAGTGAGCCCTTTACCTGTGTCCTCTCTCTGTTCCTCTCCTCATGGCACACCAAGTATCTGCTCTGCCACACCAAGTATCTGCTCAGTTATTCCTGGCTGCCTCCCCCGCTCATGCCAACCCGGTGCTGCTGGGTGTAATGGCCTCAGGGCACACCATTCCCTCTTAACCCCACAGCTCCAACCCCCACATTAATGGGGTAACCCAACCCCCACCGCTATGGGGCTCCTGTGTCATCTTTTCATGTGGCAAGTGTGAACCGCTCCTCTCTCCTCCTAGGTGTGTGGGCTTCCGGTGAATAATTTGGTCATCTTTATTATTTGTGATTACTTTGGACAAATATATAGGAATACTTTTATTCTTTTTCCAAAAATACATTAAAGTATGAACCCACGTACTTTTCCCTGTTTTGTATAAAAGTCTTTGTATATTTTCTTATTTTATTGGTATGAGTATATAAGACTGCAATAGAAGAAACTCATCTCTATTTGTGTCTTTCCTGGCCATTATTATTTGCTCCCTACCGGGGTTCTTGGCTGAGAATAATTTTGCAAGAGGGAGAGCTAAAAAGCAACCTCTCTGAGTGTCAAATATACGGGTACCTCTAAACCAGCTCTCCTGCCAATCTGGGAGGGTTTCTGGTTTTCTTATTGAGTTTCCTGGAGAAGCCACTGTCTCTGTGCTGGATATTATTAAGCCACAAGGGCTTTCATCTAATGCCCGCCCCTACCTGCCCCCAACTCATCATCCTCCTGACCCCCAGGCCCATCATTCTCAAATAAAATCTGATCTTGTTGTCCTCTGCTGAAAAAAGTGACCACCCCTTCAGTTTGGGTAGGTCCTCAAACATGAATGTTACTAGTAGTTTAAGTTTCTGGAGTCAGTTCTTGTGAGCTATGTGACTTAGATCACGTTATTTAACTTCTCTGTGTCTCAGACCCCTTCTCTGCAAAATGAGAGTAATAATACTATCAATATTTGTTTTGGAGAGTCATGAAATGCTCAGACCAATATCTGTACAGAATAAGCACTTAATATTAATTGTTACAATTCTTATTACAGCAATTATTTATAAGACAAAATATTAAACCCTTAGCATGTCTTATTAGCATCCTTGAGTTGATTTCCTGTCATATTCTCCAGTCTCACCTCTGTGTGCTCATGTTTCAGTCAAACCTTTCTTCCTATTACCCAAACTCATTCCTAGTTGCATGCTTTTGCATCCACTTTCAGAGATTCTCTCCCCCCTTTAAAAAAATTTTTACATAGACGAACTGGGGTGTAGGCCAGAAGTGAGGGGTGGGGTGAAAGAATTCACCAGACACAGAGTGGGGAGCAGAACAAGCAGACCCACTGAAATACACTGCTGAGGGGGACAGTAGCGAGGAGACAAGAGAAGTCTGCCAGGCCATGTGGGTCAGCTCCCTGGCTGGGGAGCGAACTCAGGCTGTTGTAATAGCTCTGAGACTTAATCCCCAGGCCACCAGGGGAGCCCACTCTTCCCCCTCTTCTTGAACCACATTGCAAATATGTACCTAAGTTTTCACATGTCCCAAGACCACTCTTCCCAATCCTTTCCCCTCCTCCCTGTGGCTGCCTACCCCTTGGCTGAGGTGAACTTAGACTTCTCCTATCATATCTCAACACATTTTATTGCATTTCTTTGTTTCCATGGTTGCTTCTTACCCTGAGCTATGACATTCTTGGGGACAGAACTGTTTTTTGTTTTGTTTTGTTTTGTTTTTAATCTTTGTATCTCTGGTGCTTACTACAGAGCCATTGTTAACATGCCCCTTCTTGTTCTGCCAACTCCTTAATGTCTCCAATCACAGAAGACTAATGATGGTCCACCCTTGGTGGTGCAAGGGGTTAAGTCTCAGCACTATGAAGTTATCCAAAGCCACTGCAGCATGAGTTCGATCCCCGGCCAGGGAGCTGACACACATGGTGTAGCAGACCTCTCCTGTCTCACCCTCTGCTCCCCTCAGCAGTGTGTTTCAGCAGGTCAACCTGTTCTTCTCCTTACTCTGTCTCTGGTGAATCCTTCCAAACCTCCCCACCTCTGGCCTGTACCCAGCTCCTGTGAGCATAAATCAATAAAACTTCAAAAAACAAAATTAATGATAGTCAGCAAGAAGAAATTCAATATAAAAATGTCCTGAAAATAAGGCCCTTCCTGGCAGCACAGCAGGTTAAAGTACAGCACTAAGAAGCTAAAGCCACTTCAGCATGAGTTCTATGCCTGCCCCGGAGGTGACCCACATGGCGCGGCAGACCTCTCCTGACCCGCCCACTGCTCCCCTCAGCAGTGTACTTTGTCAATCTGCCTGTTCTGCTCTCCACTCTGTCTCTGGTGAATCCTCTCTCCACCCCTGCATCTCTGGCCTGTATCCCAGTTCTGTATGCATAAATAAATAAATCTTAAAAAAAAAAATGTCCTGAAAATAGGCTTAGTATTCTACTTACATATGTAGCTCTTTCCTGACACCAAGCACTTGACTTTGGAAATCTGATCTGGGAAAAGTTTGATTATTAATTTAACACTCTATACAAGGATAGTTGTGTTTTTGCTAACAAATGCATAGCACTGAGAGCTCAGGAATTCAGCAGTGTCTTTAAAATGAAATGAACATGTTTGCTTGTGTGAAATATTGATGTTTCTTAGCTCACAACTTTAAAATATTCGGAATCAAACTTCTTGAGGTCTACACACAGGCTGTCTCTTTGCTTCTGCCTTAGTCTAAAGCGGTGGGAAGCTCTTGCAATAAATTTATGCATAAAAAGTAGAGAACTCTTCTTAGCTGGAGAAATAGTCTTCTTCTAAGTGATTAACTCAAAGTTTCTTATTTGTCTTAAAAAAAAAGAGTCTAGATGGAAATAGATGCTCTCAAGGATCCTTCACAGCTTTGCCCTAATCATTGACAAGGAAGTTCTTGTTTATTGTTGTAAAAGATACTAAATTACTTCTTAAAGTAATTTAACTTTTTTGGAAAGATGATATTTCTGAGTGTGTTTAATGGTTGTTGTTGTTCATTAAAAGCAAACTAGAAGAAATTAAATTTTGAAAACTAAATAACTTCCTATATGTCAACAAATATATTTATAAAATGTCCCTTCCAATACTTTGATTTAAAAATGTCCAAGCACCAGGGAACCTTGACAAATCACTTCCTCCAAGCTATTGGGAAAATTTGTTACCCAAATGCTTTAGAGCACAGCATGATGTTGTCTCCAGACCAAAACTACAAACAAACCAAAACAAACTTGTCTAAGTTAAAGAGAGTAACTTTCTTTGACATGCTGATTACTCCCATGCTGTGAGTTTAGAATTCAGTTTTTCAGCCCTCCCTGGTGGCACAACAGGTTAAGCACAGCACTTTGAAGCTAAGGGTAGCCCCTGCAGCATGAGTTCATTCTTCAGCCAGGGAGGTGTGGATCACCTCTCCTGTCTCGCCCACTGCTCCCCTCAGCAGTGTGCTTCAGTAGAATCTGCCTGTTCTGCTCCCCACTCTCTCTGGTAAGTTCTCCCATCTCCCACACCTCTGGCCTGTACCACAGTCCTTGTATGCATAAATAAATAAATCTTTCAAAAAAGAAGGATTCAGTTTTTCAATTCTGAAATTGATTTAAAATGTTTATCCCCAAGACAATGAAGTATAAAAGAAAACTGACATGAAATGCAGAAACACACCGAATCTGTTCTGCTACAACTTTATTTCAAGGAGAGAATACCCTTCCAGCCACCCCTGTGTCTCTCCTCCAGCACACTGCACAAGGACTTCCCAAACCTGTGAAATATTCGCTCTTCATGCAAACTCGATCAAGAAAGCTATTTTGCCACATCCCTGAGGGGCATAGATCTAATTAATTTGTAAATATATTTGGTCTTTGAACTATGTTTATTCTCAAGTCTAGATTATGAATTGGGTTAAAATTTCCAGAATGTGTTATCCGCAGATAACATATTTGAAAGACATTCTTTGTTTTCAAAATGAAAAAGCCTTAAATTTCTCCTTTGGAAAGTGAAGACCGGAATATGTTATTTTATGCTGAAAGCTTGTTTTCATCTGCTGCAATTTCAGTTTTGGATACTCAAAGGCCTGAAGGCACACTGTATCTAAACAGGAATAAAGGGATAAAGATCCTTGCTAAGGACGGGATTAGTAGCTTTGATGAAACCAAGGGGAAATCATTCAGGGTTGTACCATTGAAATCTAGTCTGAGTTGGAGTTGCCAGCAACCTTTGTGGAAAGCCATTTTCAGACCAAAAATCTTCAAGTCTTCTTTCAGTTCAAACATAGGCATTTTGTTTGTTGCAGTTGTTAAGTTTGTCGCGTTCTGAGAACTGTTAATGGCAGAATGAACCCGTGGGCAGAGCTCAGTGTTTGCTAGGTTTAAAAATGGGGGCTCTGCAAAGCCCCCAAATAATTTATGAAAATACCTGTCAGACCATCACTGCAGATATTGGGTTTTAACAGTTTACTTGGAAGGAGAAGACTGTCCAACACAATCTTCACCTTGAGACTCAACCAGGAGCCTCTGAAAGGACAATGGAGAACTCGCAAAACTTAACTGACTTGGCAACTGCAGCAAACATAATGTCTACGTTGAATTAAGAGATTTGAATGGTTTCTGTCTAAGAACAACCTCTAGGGCCTTTCCTGGTGGTGCAGTGGGTTAAAATGCAGCACTAAGAAGCTAAAAGCCACTTGAGCATGAGTTTGACCCCTTCCCTGGAGGTGACCCACATGGCACGGGGCAGACTTCTCCTGACCCGCCCGCTGCTCCCCTCAACAGTGTACTTCATCAGTCGGCCTGTTCTGCTCCCCAATGTCTCTGGCGAATGCTCTCACTGCTCCTGCACCTCTAGCCTGTATGTACCCCAGGTACCTATGCATAAATAAAAAAGGGGCAGCCTCTAAATACCTACATAATCAACTGGAAGTCGCTGAAAGAACAACATTAGACAGGATCTCTTTTTCTAGAACAAGCATAGTTACATAGAATCCAGCAAAAGGAGACCCTGTCTGACACAGTTATTACTGCTATATAATAATATAAGAACAGGACCTTCCTAGTGGCACAGAGAATTAAGTCTCAGCACTGTGAAGCTGTCTGCAGTCACCGCAGCATGAGTTCAATCCCCAGCCAGGCAGTTAACCCACCTGGCACAGGAGACCTCTCCTGTCTCATCCGCTGCTCCCCTCAGCAGTGTATATCACTAGATCTGCCTGTTCTGCACCCCCACCCCACTCTGTCTCTGGTGAGGCCTCTTACACCTCACCTCTCGCCTATAACCCCAGCACTTGTGTGCATATATCAATAAATCTTGAAAAAAAAGAACATGTGACATTATATGGAAAGAATCTTTTCCTGGCTTGGCTGGTGATTTAGTGACTGCAAGGAAGACTGTCATTCTATGAAGAATGACAGATGAAGAAAAGTAGGGAAAGGCCCAAGTTGCTCTCCAGTGGTCTCCTCATGCTGATTCACATTTCACATCCATTGAGGTTTTGTTGCTTACTCGTTTGCTTGTTCAGTCGGTTGATTTTCGTATTTTCCCATGTCATCCTGAGCCACAGAGCAAATTCATTGTCAGCAAGCCACAAATGAATTAACTGTCAGCACAATGAACGGACATAGATTTAGCTAGAGTGATCTTGTTATATAAACATGGTGATCAGGAACTATGAGAGTCACCCTGAGAAGACACAAGAATCTCTAGTGGAATTATGGGAGGTGATGGGACCCTGAAGGCAAGCTGTTGTGATTTCTCCTCAGTCTCTGAGAGACTCCCAACTGGCATGGCTCCAGAAAATGGCCAAATGTGTTTAGGTTTTGAAAACCTTTATGATTTTATTACTGTAAAAGTACCAACGCCTTCCTAGCAATGTCTTACTTTATATGGTTTTGCTAAAGGGAAGGTTTTCTGTTTAGTACCTAGAGTAATCATTTAAATGACTCTGAAACACTATTGAAGCTAAAAGGCCTCAAACAGAAGGGTTGACAGGTCTATTATGCACCTTCCTGATATTTCTGGACCCGCCTCTGTCACCCATGTTCCCTGCCAAAGTATTAGTTTATGTGTAACCAAATTTCACCTGGACAATTAGAATAATCATAGGATACCCTAGAAAATCTCATTACACTTTTCTCATGTCTCTTGTTTGGGACTTTGACGGCTTTGACATGGGCCAGCATTTGGAGTCAGTAGACATGAAATCACAGATAGGCCATATTGAGTATGCTTTGAACTCCACAAGTTCAAAGTGATGTTGTATAAAGAAATAGAACGTCCTGAAAATGAGAAAGTGGGATTTACAGATGACCCTTTAGAAACACCTATTAATATAAAGCATGAATGTCTTTCGACCCAGTGGGTCACATCTAGGAATTGTTTCATGGAGCTGTCAAGTGAGTTAAAGGTACTATATATGAGTGATTATCATGCCAGGAATGTTTATCGTATTGAAACGTTAAAAAAGCAGGGCCCTCCCTGGTGACGCAATGGATTAAAGTGCAGCACCATGAAGCTCACCAGCAGCTGCTTCATTGTGAGTTCGAGCCCTGGCCAGGGAACTGACTCACATGGTGCTGCAGACGGCTCCTGACCCACCTGCTGCTCCCCTCAGCAGTGAACTTCATGGATCTGCCTGTTCTGCTCCCCACTCTGCCTCTGGTGAATCCTCTCACTGCTCCTGCACTTCTGGCTTGTACCCCAGTTCTGTATGCATAAATAAATAAATCCTTAAAGAGAAGAAAAAGAAAGAAAAGTTAAAAACAACTTAGATATCCTCCAATAGGAATTAGCTAAATAAGTAGTGATATAATTGAATAATAATGGACAATAATGCAATAGTCAAATAAACAACTCTTTTCCACAGTTAAATTGAACACGAAATAGGCCTCTATGCACTGGTATAGGTAAATGCCTGGCATAGTGTTAATGGAAAAAAACCAGATTACAGAAATAGACTATCATGTAATATATAATCTGATGTTATTTGTAAATGCCATTATTGAAATATAACCAGTATATCATATGACTCATCCATTTAAAATGCACAGCCATCATCACAGGCTAATTTTAGAATACTTGTGTCTTCCCTAAAAGAAGCCACCTTCCATTAGCAGCCAACCCCCCACTTCCTAAACAAACACTAAGTCCATTTTTTTTTCCAATTAATTTGTTCATTTGGAATATTTCATTCAAATGGACTGATTCTTGGAGCTGGCTTTTTTCACTTACCATAATGTTGGCAAGTGTCATCTATGTTTCAATATCTAATAGCACTGTATTCCTTTTTATTCCTGAATAACGTTCCTTTTTAGGGATATATCACATTTAATGTATCCATGTATCAGTTGATAGATATTTGGGCTGTCTCCACTTTTTTAGATAAAGAGTAAAGGATAATATTAATTAATAGTTAATTAACAATATTAATATTAATCAATAAACACTTGTGGATGCATTTTTGTGAATTTTTAAATTATTTATTTACTTATGCATACTGTAGCTAGGGTTTATGTCAGAGGTGGTGAGTGGGTGAGAGGGTTCATCAGAGTGGGGAGCAGAATAGGCGGGTTGATTGAGTGAAATACACTGCTGAGGGGAGCAGCAGGCGAGACAGCAGAGGTCTGCTGCGTCATGTGGGTCAGCTCCCTGGCTGGGGATTGAACTTGTGCTGCAGTGGCTACAGATAGCCTTATAGTGCTGAGACTTAATCCCTTGTGCCACCGGGAGGGCCCTGACTGTGTTTTTATCTTGCTGGGGTATATACCTTGGAATGGAACTTTTTGGTCATCTGGCAACGCTATGCTTCTCTTTAACGAACTCTCAAATTATTTTCCATGCTAACTGCATACGCTCTTCACTCCCACAGCACTGTATGAGCGTCTGATTGTCCACAGCCTCACCCACACTTCCTATCATGTGTCTATTTCACTACAGTCCTTCTAGTAGGTGTGAAGTAGAATCTTACTGTGGTTTTATTAGCATCTCCCCAATGACTAATGGTAGCAACCTTCTTTTCATATAAGTCTGATGTATTTTAAAATATTTGTATGAGCATACACACATGGATGAAGACATGGAAGGTGTTATTAGTGCTTTAGTGTATGGAATGGTACTTCGTTTTTCTACTGTGTCTCTTTACTACTCAGTCTTCCACCAAAAACTCAGAAGCAATAAGATGGTGAATGGAGAGAGGGCAAGAGAAAAGAGAACAAACAAGGTGAGAAAGCTGTGGCAAGGAAATGGCTTATGCAGCTCTGGGATACTTTCTGTCATGAGAACCCCTTGTGAGGACTTTGTACTCACTTGGATAATCAGGGACCCCCTCCCTGCCTCAGGTTCCTTAAATTAATCACATCTGCAAAGCCCCTTCTGCCAGAACACCATTACCACAGATACTATTTGGTTAAATATTCGTAAAGCAGATCATACAGCATGGTTTTCATTCTCCAAAAAAACATTGTCTAAGAAATCTTGACTCACAAGATTGTTTCCCTTTCATAGGCTGGTGCTGATGTGACTAATTCCAGGAAGAATTGCAGACCCCAGACCAAAGCTGCTCTGGGCAGTGACACCGTGGGCAGCCCTGAAGACCTGGGAACACAGGACCAGTTAGGAAGCTTACCTGGAACTATTCCAGAATGTTCTCCATGTCCCAGTGAAAGAAATGAAAAAGTGAATTCAGGTAAAAACCTCATTCATGTTGATTTCCATTAAGTACTTGTTCTCTAAATATATTTTATTAAATATATTTTATAGTAAGTGTCTAGTGACCTACTTTTACAGCTTTGTGGGGCAGAGAGTGCTCTATCGAGCAAGGTCTCTGAGTCAGTAGACTTGAGCCTTAGGTCTACATTATGTGAGTAAATAATGCTATCCATTTATCTTCTTGTCCATAAACTAATTATTTTTTCTTTTTTTCATATAAACTAACCCCTCACTGGTGGTTGAGATCAGGCCTTAAGAATAGATGCTGAACAGACTTTGGTTTAATTCCTTTAAACTCCCATATGTTAACATTTTCCCCAGGGAAACAGCTTATGTTTATTTATTTGAAAAAATAAATAAAACCTACATTAGTCTGTGGTTCCTGTCTCTCTCCATCTAAAGCATCAGAAAATATACATTAAAAGAATCTTTCAAAGATATAAACAAAGCAATTATAACCTGCTGAATGCTTCAGAAACGATTGGTGTTTTTTCCTATGGTGTGTTTATGCGTTGTTTGATTTCCCTGGCATTGATTTAAGAACTCTTTATATTTTACCAGCCTTTGAAGCAAGTTGAACTTAACAGATCTCAAGGAAAAGTACACTGTCTTATTAGGGGAGAAAGCCTTCATTTTATTTTTCGTCATTCTAGACACTTAGACACCAGTTAAACCTGGAAAATAGATGGCTTAATAAATGAGATTGCTTTCCTTGGATTTCCATGGCACAATCAGGTTACCCTAACTTTTCAAATTGCCCATGATTTGGGATTTTGATGTAATAAAGCTGTGACATCTGAAGGAGGAAGTGGGAAGATGCCATGCGAGGCAAACCTCGCTCTGTGTGTTTAATCAGTTCCTAAATTTATTCTCCTGTTGGGGATCCTTCCCAGACTGTGGCCTCCATGTTCAGTATTTCTGGTTTCAGTAAGACTGGACCTAGGTGTATCCTTCCAGGTACGCAGGTGAGAGCATTAGAAGTAGGCGAGAGCTAAGAGAGCCCAGCTCCGGAGGGAAAAAGTGCCAGAGACCCTGTTTCCAAAATGTAGTGTGAATTCATTTTCAGGAACTATCTATCACAGAATAAATAACACTAGTGCCCTGTGCTTTATGCTTGTTCCTTTCCTAGTTTCCTCTCTGTATCCCTGCTTTTCACATGGGCAGTCTATGTATGTTAAAAATTTCAAATTTCCCACATATTTCCTTTTAAAAATTACTCATGTTGAAGAATTTCAGATTTAAGAAATGTTCCCCCAATAAAAGAATGCCCTATATTTTTCCACAAATGTTAACATTACATCACATTTGCATAATCATATTGCCCCCCCCATATACAAGTATATTTTTTCAGAGTAAGTTATAGACATAACTGTACTTTATTCCTAAATATACCAGTATATATTTCCTAAAAAGGACATCGTTTTTTTTTTAAAGATTTATTTATTTATGCTTACAGAACTGGGGTACAGGTCAGAGATGCAGAGGGTGAGAGGATTCACCAGGGACACAGTGGGGAGCAGAACAGGCAGATCGACGAAGTACACTGCTGAGGGGAGCAGTGGGTGGGTCAGGAGAGGTCTGCCTCGCCATGTGGTCTGCTCCCGGGGCAGGCGGGAATCGAACTCATGCTGAAGTGGCTTAAGCTTCTCAGTGCAGTGCTTTAACCCGCTGCACCACCAGGGAGGGCCCTGTCATTCTTGTTTTTAAGGATTTTATTTTATTTAGCTATGCATACAAGAGTTGGGGTGTAGGCCAGAGATGCAGGAATGGAGGTCAGGGGTGAGAGGAGTCACCAGAGACAGAATGGTGAGCGGAACAGGTGAACTGACTGAAATACACTGCTGAGGGGAATAGCTGCACCATATGGGTCACCCCCAGGGCTGGGAATCGAACTTGTGCTTGAACTTGTATAGTGGCTGCCCATAGCTTGATAGTGCTGATACTTAACCCCTTGCACATTCTTTACAAATCACAATACAAGGATAAAATCAGACATTTAACACAGTATTATTATCTCATCTACAGACCATATCTAAGCTTCTGTTTTCACATGTTATGTCCTTTATAGATTTCTGGTTGACAGTTTAACCCAGAAACTCTTGTTCAATTTAGTTGTCATGTAGCTTACGATCCTTTAGCTTGGAGCAATCTTATAGTTTGACTTTGTTTGTTTTTTTTATAACCTTGGTATGTTTGGAGATCTAAGTCATTTATTTTATAGAATGTTCCTGGATTTGGGGCTCCCTGATCTATCCTTAGTTTATATGTCTTCAGCAAGAATACCAAAAATAATATTGCATCCTGCTTCGGACATCAAATCTGGAAGAACACAGTATCTATATGACTTTTTTTTTTATTATTTGCTTTGTGAAGTTTCTCAAACATGTTTGACTTTGGATGTTGAGTCACACAAAAAAGCCTTTGCTGCATGAAGGTTAAAGATGAATTCACCCACATTTCCTTCTAGATGTCACTCTTTACACTTATGCTTCAGAGGGATTTCTAATGGCACGAACAAATGCGAATGTAAATGTTAAATACATAGGGATCAAAACAGTATGCTCAGCATGATGTCAAATTTATAAAAGTCAAATTGTATATTATTTTATAACCAGAAAGAAACTCAATGTTATTTTTAAACATTCTCCTAATATTGTCCCATGAGCAAAAAAATCATGAAAATTACTGACATAATCTGGACCTCTATGCATAGGTTACCCAGTGGAAATGTCAAGCTAAATACTTTGGTGTTCTTAGGAAAAAAAGAAGCCTGAACTGGTTAAAATAATTTTGTTAGGGACAGATGTCAATGATGACTTAAAAAACATCTAGTGGAAGCTTGTAATGTGATATATTTGAGGAGTGTAGTAAGGTAGTAAAGAGCAGGGTGTTAAAGTCAAATAGACTTAAAACCTCCTTGGTGGCTCAGGTGTTAAAAGTCTCAGCACTATGAAGCTATTACAGCCACTAGAGCATGAGTTCAATCCCCAGCCAAGGGGGTGACCCACATGGTACAGCAGACCTCTCCTGTCTCCCCACTGCTCCCCTCAGCAGTGTATTTTGATCATTCCGCCTGTTCTGTTTCCCACTCTGTCTCTGGTGAATGCTCTCACCCTCACACCTCTGGCCTACACCCCAGTTCTTATATGCATAGATAAATAAAATAAGTCTTTTCTTTTTTTTCACACACTACTCTCCCCCAATCCTCAGATAGCTTCATAGTGCTGATTTAACCTGTTGCAATATCAGAGAGGACTCTAAAATAAATCTTTTTAAAAAATAAAGTCAGGGGCACTCCCTGGTGGCACAACGGGTTAAAGCACAGCATTATGAAGCTCTCCAAAGCCACTGCAGCAAGAGTTTGATCCCCAGCCAGGGAGCTGACTCATATGGCACGGCAGACTTCTCCTGACCTGCCCGCTGCTCCCCTCAGCAGTGTGTTTAAGTCAATCTGCCTGTTCTGCTCCCCACTCTGTCTCTTGTGAATCCTCTCACTGCCCTTGGCCTATACCCCAGTTCTGTAAGCATAAATAAATAAATCTTTAAAAAAAAGTGTCAAATAGGCCCTCCCTGGTGCTGTAGCGGGTTAAAGCACAGCACTAAGAAGCTTAAGCCACTTCCTCATGAGTTCTATCCCCGCCTGCCCCTGAGGTGACCACATGGCGCGGCAGACCTCTCCTGACCCGCCCGCTGCTCCCCTCAGCAGTGTACTTCGACAGTCTGCCTGTTCTGCTCCCCACTCTGTCTCTGGTGGCTCTCCCACCTTCCGCATCTCTGGCTTGTACCCCAGTTCTGTATGAATAAATAAGTAAATCTTTTTAAAAAAATGTCAAATAGACTGGCTTCCAATGTGATTACTTCATTTACTACCCATTTCCACATACGCAAGTTAATCAGCCTCTTTCACATCAGTTTCTCTCTCTCTCTTTTTTTTTAAGATTTATTTATTTGTGCATACAGAACTGGGGTACAGGCCAGAGGCTCAGGGGCGGTGAGAGGCTTCACCAGAGACAGAGCGGGGAACAGGCAGATCAACAAAGTACACTGCTGAGGGGAGCAGCGGGCGGGTCAGGAGAGGTCTGCCACGCCATGTGGTCACCTCCGAGGCAGGCGGGAATCGAACTCATGCGGAAGCGGCTTTAGATTCTCAGTGCTGTGCTTTAACCTGCTGCGCCACCAGGGAGGGCCACATCAGTTTCTCTTTAAGATAAGGATAATAATATCTCAGAGAGTTTGCATTTTAGTTAAATATCATATTTGAATTACATATTTAAATATAAAATATTTAGTATGGTGCCAGGCATAGCAGAGTTCAATAGTCATTATTATTATGTAAGACCACCTTCTAATACAAAAATCTTTCTAATTCCTTTAAAAGGAGTAGCCTCTACATTTTTTTGTTGTTGAATTTCCCCGTTTCTCAAGTTTGCAGTTTATCTGAACGACATGTTTTACCACTTCAAAATGAGCAGTTCAAAATGAGGTTTAGCTCTATTTCAAACACTTACATGGACAGAAGACAGCACTGGCAAGGTAATGAAATTACAGAGAATTTGCTGCATTTACTGGCAGGATCAGTTAGAAGAATATCTTCTAACAGGAAGGCTCATGTTCTAAAGTGAAAGACATCTGGTTAGAGAGAGAGAGAGAGAGTGTGTGTGTGTGTCTATCTTCGCACTTCAGCGCTATGAAGATCTCCTCAGCCACTGCAGCATGAGTTCCATTCCCAGAGAGGGAGCTGACCCACACGGTGCAGCAGACCTCGCCTGTCTCACTGTTCCCCTCAGCAGTGTATGTCTGTTCCCTATGGCCTCTCTGGTGAGTCCTCTCCTCACCCCACCCTCATGCCCTACCTCTGGCCTATACCCCAGTTCTTGTATGCATAAACAAATAAATCTTCAAAAAGAAGAAGAAATTGTCATAAAAGGGCACCATCCACTCTGTGGAATGCACTTGGTTACCATCAGGACTACCTGGTGATCACAAAATAGAAAGTAGCTCCTTTCCAAAGACTGCATGCACATTTCTGTGCTGAAGCAGAAACAGCTGCTTGTTTGATTTTTCATATACCTGAGTGATTGCCAAGAGGAGTCTCTCTCCTGAGAGCAGTTTATAATCCCTTATCAACTATTTCAGTGCTCATTTTAAAAACACTAATAAAAATGTAGCCGATGTCACTGGCTTCTACTTCTGATTTAGTTCAGACTCTTCAATGAGACCTACTTTTATTTATGTCGATTTAGCAGATGGCGCAATTGTAAACTCAAGGTTGCAGAACTAGAAGTCTCTTGGCAACATCATGCTGTTTATCCTTTGTATACAAAGCATAGAAACCAAACTGTTTGCAACTCATGAGAGCCACTGAAAGAATAGCTCATACCAAGCTGGGGTTTAGCTTCATAATTAGTAAAGTCCATGCTGTTGTTCCCAAGTGTCTAAGTGTCGTTACAACAAGAAAATAGTACATAGCAGCACATAAAAGACTTTTTGTTATGTTAACATGTAATCTGTTAAGTAAACAGGGCATTATTTTGATGAGTATCCTCTTTAAGAACATTAAGAAATTGAACTTCAAAGAACTCCAATGATTTATAATAGAAATAAATCTTTAGGTAAGAAGGTTGAGACTAAGATTTAATTTGATAGCAGGATTTAGAACGCATTCCTTTAAATCTTCATGCTTATATTTCCCTTTCTTTCTTCCCTTTCCTTTGGAAGACCTAGTGACCAATGGATTAATCCATAAATCCCAACCTCTAGAGAATGGGGAGCGACAAAAGTCATCAGACATCCTGGAGGAATTAATCACTCAAGGAATAATCCAAAGCCACAACAAAGTGTTTAGAAATGGAGAATCATTTGTCATGGCAAGTAATTTTGTAATTAACATTAGTGGATAGTTAAAAATAGCAAAGAGTATGATTGATCATAAATTATTCTTTTCTAGGATATGTATCGTAAAGTCACAGCACAGATAACAGCATTTATCTAAGCCGGTTTTTTTCTTCTGTGAATTTCCATGATCTTCCACACAGCATTGTTCTCAATTGATTCAAGAATTGTCCTTATTATCAATGATTAATGATTTTAATAAAGCATGCTTCTGTTTTACTAAATTTGAAACACAAAAAGCCCCATTAAATATCATGCCTTCAATCTTTCAGCAGTTTGTATTAAACACTGCCTATATACAAAACATTGTGAATATAAAATGAATATGAACGGTGATTTATTCTATAAGAACATAGTCCTAAATGCCAAAACTAAAACTGATATACTTACACATTTATATACGCAATTTCAGGTCCAACATTAGGAAGTATTGCAGTTGTTGAAAATGTTATGCTATTGTATTTGATGATTTATCTTGATTCGCTTACTATTTTTACCATCATATGAACAATATGTTTATTCTAATTTTACCTGATTGTGGACAAAGTCTTGAATTCTTAATTTTTTAAGTAAGTTCTGGGGAAACTTGCAAAGAGGTTTTATTGTTGTTATTTTGCTTATTTTCTTGTTTGCTAGGGTTTTTATTTTTTAAGCACTCGGCTGCATAGATAGAAGAAAGGTGAGAAGAAATAACACAAAAAAATGAAAGGACAGGGAAATAAAGAAATATTGTAGTAATAGTGGAAATTTAGACTCCAAATTATATCTAGGGCTCCACAGTGATTTTCAATCTCTGTTGCAGAAAAAGAGTCTATTAAAAATAAAAAAGAATATTCAAATCAAATTTGTCATCGATGCCAAGTTTCTTGGTGTTTAAATAAAGATGATTTCCTTCTCAATGTGTAGAAAATGCTGAGAACTCATGAATACAAGCTTAAGTAGCATTTTTCTTTTAAATAAGGAAAATACGTGTTTGGGGGAAAGGGGAGATTGCCAGACCTTGTCAACATATTGTCCCAATGAAGGCAGAGGTGGGTGGTTGTGGGAAAGATAAGGTCCAGACCAGGACAATTTACATTGTACAATGCTATTATGATCCAAGGCATTTGGAATAACTTGTCTTTGTTTAAAAGAACTAAGAGCAAGATGGGTCTTTAATAGGCAGAAGAGTATTTTTCCTAGTTGTGAGTCTCTGATGGTTAGGGGGGAAAAAAAAACTGTGGCAAAAGAAAAAACAGAACAATGTGGAGGAGGGTAGATTGTGGAAATAATTTGCTACAGAACTTTGTTGCTAAAGGCCAGTGGGAATAGGATTAAAACACTTTTCAGGGATTCAAACATCCATTCAGACTTATGTTCAGACAGGGCCTCGCAAAAGTGTCAGCAAGGTTAATTAATCGAGCTGCATTGTAAAAGAGATGTATCTATTAAAAATGAAACTCAGCTTGGTTTTCCTTAGCATCATTAAGTGAACCAAAGATGGGGACTTGTTTTCATATTATAAAGAAATGGAATGGTTGTCAGGTGTATAATTGGTGTGTTCTCAAAGGATTTAAATGTTACGGGATATCAGAGGTAGTCAAAAATGAGACATTTTGTTTTGCTTTGGAATTGGCCCAAGATATTCCTGTATGAGCGCAACTTGCCAGAGCAGTAATGCACAGTTTTGAGTTTTATTAACCAATGCAGTGAACGTTAGCCTTCCTGCTCATTCTAATTACCAAGGAAGATTTCAGAAATCCAGTTACCCAGGCCCTACCGGGGCCCCAGCGCAAAGGCTTTTGAAAGCTTCCAAGTGATGATGATAGTAACTACTTGTGGGTCGCCCAGGCTGAGAATCACTTCCCTGAAGTTTCAGTAAACTCACACAAAACTCCAATTCATTATAAAGGGTGAAATTGAGCCCCCCCCCCAATTCATTGTGAAAGAGGATTCTAAAATATTCCTAGATATATCACATTTCATTTATAGGACTAATATTAAACTCAAAAAGCGTATGTACATGAAGGAGCAATGGAATTGCTCATTGTCTGGGTAACATCTCTTTTAATTCAACTGAAGCTGAAAACCTAAGTGTGTCAGATACCAAACATCTCGCATATTTGGGGAAAAGTTATGAGGTCAGTATAAAGAGATAAGAATGAATGTTGAAGGAACGGAAAGGGATTCATATTAAGAAAAGAAATAACACTTTCTTAACACCACTGTAGCTTAGACATGCTATGTCATTTCCAGGTCCTCTAAGTAATTATAGGAGAGAAAAAAAAAGGGGGGGGGGTGGGAAATAGTATTAAACAGTTCATGCTTTAAATATCTAGTAATAATTTTAAGGAAAAATCAGATTTGATAGAAATGGCTAAAAACAAGTCAGATTGGGCCCTCCCTGGTGGCACAATGGGTTATGATGCAGCACTGCAAGCTAGAAGCAGCTGCTTCAGTGCCAGTTCGATCCCCGGTCCCGGAGGTGACCCACATGGTGCAGCAGACCTCTCCTGACCCGCCTGCTGCTCCCCTCAGCAGTGTACTTCCTCAGATGGCCTGTTCTGCTCCCCGCTCTGTCTCTGGTGAATCTTCTCATCACCCTTGGCCTATACCGTAGTTCTGTAAGCATACATAAATAAATCTTTTTTAAAAAAAAGGCACTGAGAGACGATGAAGCTGCTTAGTTAGGATTAACACCCACAAGAGGGAGGAGGAACATGATTTCCAGGCCTCCCTTTGGGCTAGTCCCTACAACCAGAAAGCCCAAGTCATGGCCAAGCTCCAATTGCCTCATTTTAGTTAAGATTCACACTTCTATGTTGAGTATGGTGAACACTTCCTTAGGGGATCTTGGGTTACCATAAATCTGTTACAGGGCAGAGAGAGAGGGGCACTCCTGAACCCCCAAACCTGCTTGATCCAAATAGTTTCTGCCATCTGCCGCATCAAGACTGTATTAAAGGGACTTTAATACAGTGAATATACAATACAGAAGAGAAAGAATATAATGTCTAAATCAAACACCTGAAGTTACCCATCCCCTCGTGGGCAAAGTCAACCCAAAAGGGACTGGCCCAGAGCAAGGCCTGAAAGCTGCCACAAGATTAAAGCACCTTCTGGCTCGGACCCATGGAAAAGGGTCAGAAATGGCCAGACAGATCTGGGAGGAAAAGAGCAAAATCAAAATCAATATAAACACTGCCATAGTTACCTCCCTACAGGTCTCTCACCCACATCTGCCTTAGTCAGTCCAGGGTCAAGAAATAAGCCCAGTTTCTTTGTCACATGCTTGCTGCTCCATGTGGCTTCCTCAGGTCTCCTTCTAGTTCTCCATCCTGCTTCCTTCTTTTCTTCTACCGTGATTCCTTCTCTTCTCTCTTTTTCTCTCCTCAGCTCCACCCTACTTCTGGGTGAGGCAGGGAACCTGGAACTTCCCCTTTTCCTAGCAACCACTCAGTTCCAATCCCCCTTTTGATTCTTTTATACCACCATTTCTATGGTGGCACAGATTTTAGGGTACAGTCAGTCACCAACATTATCCCTGAATGTCCAATATGTCGGCCATAAGTGGAAAATAGTCCATTAGTGCATGTGAAAGGAAAACAAAAAAAACTTCTGGTGTATATCAAAATCACAGTACCAGAACAAAACAAAATTTTAAAATCTGTCTCAAAGTTTCTCTCAACCTTGATCCCAACTTTGTTCAACTATGCACAAGTGAGTGAACTCTAAAAAAAAAAGGATTTATTTATTTATGCATTCAGAAATGGGGCATAGTCAAAGGTGCAGGGGTGGTGAGAGCCTTCACCAGAGACAGAGTGGGGAGCAGAGCAGGCAGGTCCTGAGGGGAGCAGTGGGGGGGGTAGTTAGGGGAGGTCTACTGTGCCCTGTGGGTCAGCTCCGGGGCCCAGGATCAAACCTGCACCGAAGCAGCCACGGCTTGGATTAGCAGGGCCGTGCTCCAACCTGCTGTGCCACCAGAAAGGGCTCATGCACGCAACTTTTCATTGTAGAAACTTATTAGTGTGGCAGGCACACACCTAGAGCACGTTTTGTTCATTTGAGACCCACTTTCCAATGCCCGGGGCCCCTATCTCATTCCTTAACTCAGGATAGAAATCTTCAGTTTGTTCTATTCACTCTAGAACTTTCAGCCATGTAAATTCTTCATACATTGTTCCTACCCTCCTACTGATCTGTCTGATATTAATTTGCTCAGTCAGAGAAGAAACAGAGGAATGCAGGAAGGAATGATCAAGTTCAACTTGAGAATTTTAAAATTCTCAAGTTTAACCTTTAACCTCGAATTATAAACTCACTGCCCATGTACAACCTTTTGACATCTTGCATCTTTCTCTAGGCCTATTTTTTTTTCTTTCTTCCTGAGATCTCTTCCAGCTTTAGAGTATCTTTGCATATTTTATCATTTTGACAATAGCCAATAAATAAGCCTGGGAGCTAATAAATTTTTTTTATATATATTTTATTTATTTATTCATACAGAACTGGGGTACAGGCCAGAGATGTGGAGGGTGAGAGGGTTCACCAGAGACAGAGTGGGGAGCAGAACAGGCAGATCTACGAAGTACACTGCTGAGGGGAGCAGCGGGCGGGTCAGGAGAGGTCTGCCACGCCATGTGGTCACCTCCCAGGCAGGCGGGGATCGAACTCATGCGGAAGCGGCTTTAGCTTCTTAGTGCTGTGCTTTAACCCGCTGCGCCACCAGGGAGGGCCGGGAGCTAATAAATTTTGATCTTTAAAAATTAGCTCTGTGGTTACCAGGAATTAGAGCTTTAGATATTAATGCTTTCACCTTGTTATTTTTTAAATCTGCCAATAGAAAGTTTAGATTTTTAGGACTGATGTTTTCCACTGGGTTTATTCTGTGTTTCCTGCCTTTCAACTCTGCCCAGGAATCTGCATCTCCATTTAAAAAAATATCTTCTTCCAGGTGAGCCCGACAGAGACACCACTGAGAAAACCACCAGCCAGACTGGAAAAACTTAAACTCAGAAAGGAAGTCAAGTTGTTCACGATGAAGGACACAGATGAGAAGATGCAGGTAGCGGAGGAGCGCAGGAAGGTAGCTCTCGCACGGAGAACGCAAGCTTTGAGACAGATTACACGGATTTGTATTACGTCTTGAAATGATGTCTGCTTTCTATGTTGCATGTTTCATACCCCGCGTATGGAAGGAATAAAACAGTATCCTGGCATTGGTTGAATTAGTTGCATCGGACAGCTTAAGGACATAATAGCCTGCTCTCTGAACTAAGTACAGTGTGGAGTTTTCTTCATATTAAAAAAATAATAACTCCCCTTGGGGCCAGGGCAGGGGGTGGGAGTGACAGGGTAGAAGATGGAAGCTACAGCCTGTGAGCTTTTGCTCTGATCTCCTCCTGCCCTGTCAGCCACTCTGCTGGAAAGCAGCCCAGCCTCAGAACTGTGGTCTAACAGCCTTCATTTCCATCACCCTACTGACGGCTCAGAAGCTCGGTGACACTCAGCACTGTCTGTACCCTTCTATAGAAATACCTCCACTAGTTTGTAAAATGACGGACAAGGACCCAGAAAACTCATAAGTGCCCATTCATATATATTTTTTTACTTATATATCTATTTACACCACTGTTCATTTTAAAACAGTGTTTACCTCCACCCTCCCCCACTTCACCCACCTGTCATCACCACAATGCCCACATTCCTCCCTCCTTCTGATCCCTCTCTGTTCCCCTTACCTGTCGGATATTTCTGGGTTGTAATTGTCTGTTTCTTTTTTGTTAGATGTGTTGTGTTGTGTTTTGTATTATAATAATAACATACTTTTTCCTCCCTGTGTCTTATTTGGTTGTTTCTTTTTTCTTTTTCCTTCTGACTTACTTAACTGAGTATAATTCCTTCCACCTCTATCCATGTTGCTGTGAATGGCATGAGTTTATCCTTTTTGATTGCTGAATAGTATTCCACTGTATATATACCTGCCCATTCATATTAATCTGCACTTGAAGAAAGTTATTCAGTTGTTTTTCACTCTCTCCTACTGTTTTTCAGATTAAAGAAGAAGAAATAAGGAAAAGACTACACAGTGACCAACTTTTGCCCCCGACCCTCCACTCAGATTCAGCTGAACTGAGACCTGAGGCTCCTTTGGCCAAAGGACATACAACTGTGAAATCTTCTGGGTTGGAATCACCTGACCTGCAGGAAGGGAAGCTTTTGAAATGGAAAAAGAGTCAGAGTGAAGCAACCTCAAATGAGAGAAATTACAATGGTGAAGGTATTGGGGTCATGGTGGAGTCAGACATGTCTTACAACCAAGCAGATGACATATTCTAATACACCATTTTACATGGATTTCATGATAAAGCACCATTCTCTCCAGTTGTGATGCTTTTAGTGTGTTTTATGTTTTCTTTGATTGCCTTATCCGACCCCACTGTGATTTCTGCCTTGGGCTTAGCAATGATTGTATGAACTACATGGGCCAGGGGTTAGTTGAGTAAATTAAATGGCTGTGCTATTTAAGGGGTGGGAAAGGGGAGACTTGTCGAGCTTCCACATGATAAGGCTGGTATTCTTCAGCATGTCTTCAAACATTGTGAAGATGTCTTTTATTTTAAGTAACTTCCAGCTTACACCCATGGGTTTGTGCCAAGTAAAATCCTTCCTTTTCAACCCAGCCCCTTAGCTATGCTCGCCTTCATAGGATCTTTGAAGACAAATTGCATGGATTTGTGCTACATATATTAATGATCTTCTTATATGCTTGTATTCTATGTTCAGGGGCTGGGCTTTTATATGGTTAAGATGTGTTAGGAAGAATTAAAGCAAAATCTTTTGTTTTGTTCTTTTATTTCTATTTTCTTACAGAGTTGTTCCTTTTTGTACAATATTTGATTTCTCCCCTCAGATGTTGGCCCCGTAATTCTTCCACCATCACATTACCTGCGATCTATCACTACCGCTCCTTGTGTTCCTCCCTCCCATTTTGACTCCTCTCATCACCCCACCCCTGCTTTATTCCTCAGATCTATGCTTGCCCACAAGTTTTGTCTTTGTTCAGTTTCCCCAGATTACCTCATAAGTGAAACCATCTGATATTTTTCTTTTTCCTTCTGACTTACTTTGCTTAGCCTAATCCCTTCCAACTCCATCCATGTTGCTACAAATGGACTGAGTTTATAATTTTTGATTGCTGAGTAATATTCCATTCCAGCTTTTCACACCTTATAAGTTCCTCGAAAGACCACATCTTCTTGATCCAGTCATCTGTTTGGGGCATCTGGGTTGTTTTCATATCTTACCTATTGTAAATAGTGCTGCAATAGACAACAGTGTAGGAAAATTAGTGTTTTTGTGTCCTTTGGGTAGAGTCCTAGGAGTGGAATCATGTGGTAAATCCATTTTATTATTCTGAGGATCCTCCACACAGCTTTCCATATATAACAATATCTTGAAGGTAATTGAATTCTAGTTTCAGCCCTATAGCGTAGGGAGGCAAAATCAAAGTCACAGAACTCAGTAAAATATGAAATTTTCTTCATGTGAAAAAAAATACTTAAGTTGGGTCCAGGGCTGAGTGGGAGGGAAAAAATGGGGAAGAGGAACTAATGTCAGTTCCTTATTTCCCTATAGGTGCTTGGTGCCAACATGACCCTCTATATTAGTTTGGGACAGCCACTTTCAAGGAGTTGAGGCAAATTATTTTTTGTAAACTGAATATGCCATAATATTGATAGTCTAGTACTGATATAAAATCTCCTGGGAACAACATGGTGTTGTTCATCTATCTTGAGGTTTTTCCATGGAGATGAACTTGCATTTTGGTGCCAATCTTACGAACTATTAGAGAAGCTGAAAATGATTGGAGTAGTTAGTTCACTTAGCAAAAGATTTGGGGATCATGTAGAGCTCTACAGAAAAATAAAATTTAAATGACCTAAAATTACATTCAATGTATGTTGAAACAATTGTCGTAAATAAAATTACCTAATTTGATAAATATTCAAATAGGCTCCTCTAGTGGTGCAGTGGGTTAGGGCAAAGCACTAAGCACTGTAAGCTAGCGGCAGCCGCCTCAGCGTGAGTTCAATCCTTGGCCCTGAAGGTGACCCACATGATGTGGCAGCCAGACCGCTGCTCCCCTCAGCAGCTTACTTCATCGATCTGCCTGTTCTGCTCCCCGCTCTGTCTCTGGTGAATCCTCTCACCATCCTCACCTCTGGCTTGAACCCCATTTAAAAAAATGTCAAATAATGCCTTTTCTTGAAATTGTATGCTCTTGTCTATGTTGTTTATAGTGGTTTGGATGGCATGACTATTTGAGTTAAAATATATACAGTGTAGTTGTGAACATAATCATTGACAAAAGGCTTGAAAATCTCTTGCATATAATGAGTTAAACACGCCAAAGAGACTCAGACCCTAAACAACAAGCTGGGTTTTCTCAGTGACGTCACGCACTGTAACAGCATGGGATGAGAGACGAGGAGACGCAGAGTGCCTGGATTCTGGGAACTGCTCTGAGCTCGCAGTATATTTCTACTCACAAAACTGTCTGTGGGTTTAACGGTGAGGAAAGGAAGACTAAGATTCTCAGCATCTCCTGTCTTCTCAGGGCCTCTGGCATCCCCAGGACAATGCTTGCATGAAATTGCCTGCCTATCACCAGATACCAAGTCCATCTATGCAAAAACAAAACAGAACTTCAAATGTAAAAGTGACTTTTTCACGTGATCATCTTTTTTTCAATTTACTTGAATATCACTTATAATATTGTTTAGGTTTCAGGCACGGCACACCTGTATTTTTTTTTTTTTAAGGATATTATATGCTGAGGAGGAACAGAAAAGAAATACTGCAATTTCTAAAAGATGGCCTCTTGGGATCATGCTAATTTTATGTGTTGAAATAATATCACTGATTTCTTCATGCTTTAAACACTAAGTTTTGAACAACCACCAGGGTATTTCAACTGAGATCAAACTACAACCTTCAGGAAGAGCTGAATCAGGAAGACAAGATCAAGTAAATGGCTCTATCATTCTAAAGGGGGCACATAAAACAGGCCCAGGTACATTTCTTTCATAAATGATGATCTTCTATGTATAATAGATGGTGGTTTGATATCTACTGAGTCTTCTGACATTTTTTTTTTGGAGGGGAGGGGAAATAGACCTTTATGAATTATCTTTACGTAAAATAATACTTAAAAGTTATATTTTAAACTAGTTTTCATATATTTAAAGTAATACACAGATTTATGTTAGTAAAGTGATTTTGTAATCCCAGGGCCAAAAATAGAATTTGTCATACAGTGTTGCTATAGTGACCACCAGTAATTTATGACTGAGCCCATTTTTGTATTTGGTGCTCCATTACCAGCAAACAGCTAGTATTTGAAGGAATAAATGATAAATACTGTACTCTAAAGACATGCAGTGCCAGGCTGTGTCAGTGAACAATGGCATCTACACCCTTAGAACCCTCCACTCAGCACCTCATAGGCCAATACAACTACTACTCCAGCAGGTCCGTAAAGGACATTATTGAAAAGTGGGGCCCTCCCTGGTGGCGCAAGGGGTTAAAGCACAGCACCGTGAAGCTATCCACAGCCACTACAGTGCGAGTTCGAACCCTAGCTAAGGAGGGGAACCACGAGGCACAGCAGACCTCTCCTGTCCTTCCCACTGCTCCCCTCACAATGTATTTCAGTCAATCCACCTGTTCTGCTCCCCACTCTGTCTCTGGCGAATCCTCTCACCCCCCCCACCTCTGATCTACACCCCAGTTCTTGTGTGCATAAATAAATGAGTCTGTATTAAAAAAAAAATCAAGTGCAATATTTTTTCATGTAAATTAACCTTCTCCCCAGTATCATCCTTAATGATATATCACTTTTTAGTCTCCCTATTAGGTTTCTAGGAGTTTCCTTAAAGTCAGAACTATCATCTTTTGGCGGGGGTGCGGGGGAGTTGTGAGAGGAGACCTTTATGGATTACTTCTTCTTGTCATTCAGAAACAGTAAATTACAGTGAAAAATACAGGATCCATTCTTTTAATCACCAGATGCAAATCATTCTGAACAGTGGTGTCATGAAACAGTTATTCAATTCCTAGGAATTTCTAATAACAAATACATAAATTTCCTCTCTATTTTTTAAAGTTTTTTTTTTTTTTTTTGCATAGAACTGGAGAGTAGGTCAGAGTTGCAAGGGGTGAGAGGATTCACCAGCAAGAATGGGGAGCAGAACAGCAAATCTACTGAAATACACTGCTCAGCAGAGCAGTGGGTAAAACTGGAGAGGTCGTCTGCTCCATATGGGTCACTTCCCTGGCCGGGAATCGAACTCAAGCCTCAGTGTGATAATGCCGAGACTTTACCCCTAGGCTGCCAGGGAGGCCCATAAATTTTCTCTCTATGTAACACAAGTCAACCCCTAAATAAAATTTTATATATCATTCAAAAATATGTGACAACGATATATGCTTTTTTCCTGCTGAATTTGAAATAAACAGCAGGGCTAACTTGTTAAACAGGAGGAAGACGGTGGAGGTGATCTGTCAGTTTGTGGGATCCGCTTGTGCCAGTGGTTCTTAGAGTGTGACCCCCACTAGTAGCAACACATCACCTGGAAACTCGTAATAAATGCAAGCTCTCAGGCTCCCCTTGACTTCTGTTATCAGATCATGGGGCACCTGGCTTTCCACAAGCCCTCCAGATGCCTGGTGCACACTGGAGCTTCCCTGAGCTTTCTTCCATCCTGCAAAGCATACCAAGGCATGCCCTGGTAACCCACCACACGTGCCAGCATACCCAGGAACTCTTGCCTCCACAGGCCAAGTTGAATATCTACTGAGTCAGTTCATTCTAAAACCTACTAGTACATTTATACTGGGTATTATATTTAATTTTAAATAGTATGTAAATCTTAAATAGTATGGTCTGTAAAGGATTAGATATATTGTAAAAAAACCTCCAAAGGATCATTTCAGAAAATACACAGACTTCATCCTCTAATTTAAATAAACTTAAACTTCAAATGAAGACATGCATTATGGATGTGGCTTATGTAAGAATTCTGATCATAGCTTGGTACTGCTGAAGAATATGTGCAAATGAAGGAATATGTTAATGCTTTATGTTAAAATAAAATATTTAGGGTGTAGAGTGATGAGGCTCAATGCATCTATTGTATTTTGAAGACTTTGTATAGCATAATCTTTTTTTTTTAAGATTTATTTATTTATTCATACAAAATTGCCAGACGTGCAGGGGCGGTGAGAGGATTCACCAGAGACAGAGTGGGGAGCAGAACAGGCAGATCGATGAAGTA